TTAAGACTCTGCTGCCTTGTAAAAAAGGAGGGGATTTGAAAGGCTTGATATAAGACTAATTATAGAATTTACTATATTTAATTCTAATTAAAGTCTGGGTCCTTGAAATTTTATCCCTATTTTTTTAGACATTTAATTAATGGTTTAGCTGTTAAAACAAAGCCTTTGGAGTCAGAACGGCTCTAGAGAAAAGTTGATAGTATATTGCAACATGTGCTAAAGAACTTTAAATTACAGATTGAATTGCCATATTAATGTGGAACTACTAGCCAAATGTCCAGTTCTACATATGTCATAACTTGATTCTCTGTGACTTTAAGAATAAAATCTTATTACCCAAACATAAATGTCACAATTTATGCATTAGATCCTCATATAAATCTTTGAAGCACAAAAGTTCAGATTACAGGCCTGATTCTGTGTATTCAAACATTCTCAAACTATTTATCGGAAGTACAATGAATCAATTTGAGCACAGCCTATGAGACATGGTTCTGCCAATGGGCCTGGGGACCCCAGTGATATGGACCCATCAAGTAGCTGGTCTGATTGCTGCCACCAGGGAGGTGGGGATTTATTGGCTTTTTCACTGGGGTTTTATCTTCATAAACTTACTGTAAGTGAATTGAGTGACCTAATCTTTCTAAATAAATAAATCAGCCTCCACTTCAGGATGAGAGGGGGACCCTAACTTAAATTTCTTTAAAAACAAGTACGCTTCTCAATGTTTACTGAACATTAAACCAGAAGCAGCTTGCCTCTTAGTACCAATCTATGGGAAATATGGGTGGAAGAACACTTAATACTTAAATGCTGCTATTGACTGGCTACTGTGAGACAAAAAGTAAAAGTTAGTTTTAGCCCTTTCAGACCCAGTGCTTTTCTAAAATGCTGCCTAGGGAATTATGGAAGTTGGGGATTTAATAGACTCACACAGATTAGAGAAGGCAGATTAAGACAGACTTTGTATATGATGAGGCATAATTCTTTTTATAATTTGTATTTGATGCTTCTCAGATGTGCAGTCATTAAGGAAGTGAGTCATGGACTGCATAACCATTTCCCAAGTATATTTTGACTAAATCTTTGATTCTAGTAGCATCATGACTATGAATGTCTTCATTTAAAGCATTCTGGCACAATAAATATTAGGGTAATTCTCTGAGAGATATTGTTTTAGGGGCCCACACCATTATACATTAAAAGAAGACAAACTGCAAGAATCAATGGCAATTCACAGTTCTGGATGCAAAAGCAATAGTTTAGAATTCCCTTCTTATTTTGCTCCCCTTGCCTCCACGTAGATGTGTCCCAAGGAAGGGAGAGACACATTCTTCCTAGACTTCTATACTCTCAAATTATTCAATCATTCCTTGCAAATGTTTCAGTTCAAAGGACTTCTTTCAAGACAGAAAGCAATGGGCTGCGATAAACAGACAAGATGCCTTTCTACCAAATTAGATGATGCCATTATTCACCAATCAGAGGCAGCAGTTCTGGTTGCCATTTCACCAATGAGAAAACAACAGGGAACTCAAAAGTCAGCCCAGGCATTGGGGCAGTGCAAACAGCTACTGTTTTCACTGTAAGGCCAGAGTCAGATCATCACATTAACAGAGCTGTTTGTAATGTCTTTTAATGAGAGCAGAGAAAACAAGAGAGGAAGCAGGCTCATTCTGAAAGCTCTGTAGCAAGACAGCAAATGAGGCGATTAGTAGAAGCTGCTGTAGTGAGACTTCTCAACAGAATCTTTGAATAATTCAATATGTGCAATTGAGCATAAAAACAACTAAAGCTTTAGACTCTAAGCTGGATTTATTTTTAAGTCCACACTAAGCTGGACTTATTTTTTTTTCTTCAACGCAACCCTTGTCTGGTTCTATTGGATCAGAAAGGTACTTACCTGTCCAGCAGTGTCATAAAGCCCAAGAAGGTATTGCTTGCCCCCAACTGTCACACTGACTGCAAAAAGAAAGAGAGGATGAAGTGGGGAAGGAGGATCAGCATATTTGGTCTTTTCTCTCTAGAAGAGGACAAGCAAAGGATCAATTTCAATCACTCACCATAATTCAGTGGAAAAATGGGGGAGGAGGGATGGGGAAGGGGAATCAGGCATTGAAAATACAAAAATACACACACTCTTGCTAGTTTCTTTGATAGCACGAAAGAGTACAGAAACACTTTTTCAATCCAGCATCCAGTAAAGATGTCCATGTGAGTGCATGTTTCCCAATCCCCATTAACACGCATGTGCTCACAAGATCAAACTACTGCAACTGATCAAAGTGTGCCTAAAGAAATATTTCTCCTTGTGCTCATAAAGGTTTTTGTTATTATGTGCAGGGTCCCATTTATTATGACTAAAGATCTTTTCTGCTAATAAAGTAACTTTTACCACTTTGCTCTCTCTTCCAGGGGCTTTGTCATTGGGGAGAGGGCAAGCAGGATACTTCTGGTTCATAACAAACCTGAGTATAGTTGAAAGATCCCATCACTTTTCCCTTTCCGTTTCCCACCTGCCATAACTAACCCGACAACCGTAATGCAGAGAGGGGAAGCCCTCCAAGGGAGGTGGGGGCGGGGGACGCTGTAAATAAGCCATTTTGAGGAGCTGCTACAAACTGTCCCAGGAGCAAAAGACAATTCAAGCCATTATAAATTCCAGCTTGACTTTCCCTAACTCGCTGCCCAGACATTCTCAAAACTCGTTTGACAGCGTTACACATCTGGAAGAATCCCAGTCGGGAAAGGCTGAGCCGGGTTTTCGTTGAAGGGCGGCAGACGAGGAGAAACGAGAAGAGAAAGGGGGGGGAGAGGAAAACGCGGAGGGGGAGAGCAAAGTTTTTGCTTAAGTTCCTGCTTTGCTGCTTTTCCTGCTGAAGGGGTGGGAGCGAGCGAGAGAACCGGGGAGAGGCAATGGGGGGGGGGAGGGCGGGAAAAGGTGACAGGGAAACACTTACTCAGCACTTGCAAACAAGACACCATTGGTCCCCCCCCCCTTACCTGCGTAATGGTCAAAGACTGTGGGCACATACTCCTCCGGGAAGGCGTCGTTGGCATAGCTCATGAGCAGGCAAGTTTTGCCCACAGCTCCGTCGCCGATCACCACGCACTTCAGCATGACTGTCGCCGCCGCCCCCGTCCCGTTGGCCATGATGAGGTTTCCGAGCCGATCGTCATTTTAGAGAGAGGGAGAGCCGAGCAGGGAAAAAGGGGGGGGGAGAGAGAAGAGGATTGGGAGGGCCGTTCACGCGCCGAGTCGGAAAAGGCGCCGCTCCTTCGGTGGCATTTCGAGCTCAGCCACTCCGGAGTTGGGCAGCGTCAGACTGCGCCTGGCAGCAGAGCTTGGCTGGCTCGCCCGTTTCAGCAGGCGCCACAAATCACTGAAGATGGCATTTCTTCTGTCCCTCGCCGTGGTCGAAGTCCTTCTCCTCCTCCTCCTCCTCCTCCTCCTCCAGTGCCAAATTTGGCTGGCAGGGATTTTCCTCCCCTGCTCTCGCCCCAGTTAGGCGCGATGACACAGGCTTTCATAAGACCAGCAGCGGCGGCGGCAGCAGGCTTGGAAGAGGAACTTAGAGCAGCAAAACCCGCACCGAGACGGGCACCACTTTCGTCCAGCTCCTCCTCCTCTTCCCCCTCCTCTTAGAATCCAAACTGCTTCGCATGTGCCGGGTAAGCCCTCCTCCCGCCCTCCCTCCGTCGCTTTCCGAAGGGAGGAGGACAAGAAGAAGGCCCAGACTCCCTTCCAGAGCGAGGCTGGGAGTGGGATCCTGCTTTACTTTCCTTCTGTTCCCTTCTCCTCTCCCCTCCCCTCCCCTTCCTTGGCTTCAGGCACCACTTTTCCAACACGCGCAGAAAGCAGGAAAATAGCGGGGCAGCCCCGCCACCTCCGCCTCGCTCGGGAGGAGAAAGGCGGAGCGAAGCCAAATTCTGTACTGTAGTTCAGTTGAGGGCTCCTCTCCAAAGAGCCCGCAGCGCCGGGAAACGTCGACGGCTTTTGCAAAGTGCCTTCCTGGTTTGAGCGATGGTGTAAATAATCAAGATACAGTAATAACTGAATGTGATTCAGGGCTCCCTCCTCCCAATTCCGAGAGGCAGAGTATTATCTTTTGCACTTTCTATTAGTAAAATGTTTTAGAAATCATTCTTGATTGTGAGTGACGAACCGCTCCTAAAATTATTTTCCTTCTATTGGTGAAGTGCAGAAGGGAAGGTTGGGGGGTGTCATGTAACTTTATATGTATTTGGAAGCACTTTTAAAAAATGGAACACTGGGATATAACTATATGATCGGAAAAATATCTATCAATGTCAATTTAAAATTCTTTAGATAGCATCAGCAAAATGGAATTGATGTTAGCAAAGTTGTGCTATTTTTGTATACTGTATTAACTTTTCATATTTTATGCCAACTCAAACATCTATTTTCATAACAGCACTGTGAGATAAAATCAGTCTGTGAGATAGGTCACTGAGGAATCTTTATTGCTAAGCAGAAAATCTAAGGCAGCTTTCTTCCAAAGTGATACCATCTAATATAGCAGGCAAAGGGGTGGGGGTGGTGATAATAATAACTGAACACCTCAATTTATAGGTATAGTATAGTAAACTATAGTATAGATAACACAACAATATATTAATAATTTTACATTGTCCCATCAGGCAACTCTAGGCTATTAGCAGAAGAATCCTAAATAGCAATCTCCCAGCGAATAATTCAAAACTGTAATTGAAACAGATTAAAATAAATGCAGATGTTCACCATTCATATGTACTAGAGTTGAAAATTTGCCAAAAGACTGCTTAAAAAAAAAGATTTTTTAAAAAGTTTTTCTGAAAGTCAGAAGTAAGAAGACTAAGTATGAATCTGGATTCAATGTAGGGGTCATTGTATTTTCAATGTATTGAAAAACTCTGCCTTCCTTTCTCATATCCTCTTACTTCAAGTGGAGTTGAGATCCTAAGTACGGTACGTCCTCTTTAGATGGCCTGACATACATTATACACAAGACAGTGGTAACACAAAGTAACACATCTGGGAGCCCTCAGGTTGGAAAAGGCTGCTTTTGTCAAAATCTCTAAGATCCAATTTCATCATTCAGCCCATTATTTTTTAAAAATGTAAAAGATACAACCTTTATATTGGGGATCTCCCAACAACCAGGCTATAATATGATTGGTCCAGCATCAACTTGTCATCTTCATGGTTAAGAAGGAAATGGATCTTTAGTCTAGTGTTTCCCAATCTTGGTAACTTCCAAATAAGTTGACTTAACCTCCAAGAATTTCCCAGACAAGCATGGGCATTGCAGAAAGTTCCGGGAGTTAAAGTACTTTTCGGATTGTTTGATGACATGAAACAGTGCGGTGACTAAATTTAACATACTGGAACAATATTTCTAATCTCCTCTTATGTGCCAGTCTACAAGTCTCTCAACTCCTTGACTTGAAGAAAATTGAAAATAGTGGCATTCATTAAAGCATATATTCAAGAATCATGATTGTGAGCATGTGCTCTTTGCTGTTTTATGAAAAAGCAAGACATTTGGGCTAATTAGTAGCAGAACTCTTCTTAGAAATGCTAAGAACTAATGGAAG